GCAGAATGCCAAAATTCTCTTTGTCTCAGGATATCTCACCAAACAGAAGAGTCTTGAAAGGATTGACAGATTTTGGAATACTCTGTGAAAATTCAAATACCTGCCAAGAAATTTCCCTTTAAAGCCTTATGAGGTAGTATATAAAAGTACAGATTGGTTTACCCAACGCCATAGCTGATGGAAGAGAAAGACTTCCCCATTAGTAGGACAGAAGTAAAATGAGAAGATGATAAATATCACACAGGGAAAGGAAAGGGTAATGAATTTAGACTTCTTCAGAATTATACTGGGATGGACCCCATTTCCATTTCATTACCAGGTGCTCTGGATCCCAGTCATAAGGGTAAAGAGAACACTTGGTTACCAAAGGAACTGAAAACTCCCACTACTGCTCTACTATGATATTATGGTGTGTTTTTTATTGTTTGTTTTGTGTGTGTGTGTGTGTGTGTGTGTGTGTGTGTGTGTGTGTGTGTGTTTTGTTTCCTTTTTTTTCTTTTTCTTGTCTTCCTTTTTGTCCTGAGTTGGAACTCAGGTTCTGGGTGTTGTTGTTGGGCTTTTTGCTCAAAGCTAGCACTCTACCACTTCATCCATAACTCCACTTCTGGCTTTTTGAGTGGTTAATTAAAGATGCATCTCATAGACTTTCTTACCCTGGGTAGCTTCAAACTGCAATCCTCAGATCTCAGCCTTGTGAGTAGCTTGGATTACAGGCATGAGCCACCAGTGCCCATCATGATGGTATATTCTTGAAAAAAATTTCAATCTGCCCTAAGCAGATTGATGAGTTTTTAAAATAGGGCTACAAGCTCTAATGCAACCATAGGAATAATATATCGAACAAAACACACACCTGGGTGGGACTGCTCCCAAGGATTAACTGGGCCTTGTGCCAGAGATCTGTAGGGGTAACCTGCCCTGTTGATTGTATTCCAAGGTGAAGAGAGGGAAGGGTAGAAGCTTTACTTGCATAAAGATGCAGTCCAAGCAGCTTTGAGGATGAAGACCCTGGCAGAGGCCTAAAATGTTTTAGATTGTATACTTACCAACAAAATAAAATTATGCTTCGCAATGGAATGTACAAAATAAGAATTTCATCTCATTCAACCTTTTCCTTCTTTCTTCCTAAGCTAACAATCAACATATGTAACTCATTAACATAACTAAGCATGAACATTTCTTCTTATTGTACAGATTTTTCAGTCTGTTAAATGAACCTATTTGTCTTTATTTTCCCTGAAATATTCATTTGCCTGGTAACCCAAACTTCATTTATTTAAAATGTTTTCATAACCATCCTAAAGGCTCCATAAATTCCAACATGTTGTGAGGGTCAGAAGACGGATTAAAGTATAGGGAAAACATGTTGAGATTTTAAATGTGATAACTTTCCTATTCTTAACTTTCTTATTCTTACTTGACTAATTCAGGATATTAAAACGGCTTTAGGCATTTTGACAAAAGTCAGTGTAGCTCTTTTTTCCACTCAAAAAAAAAAAAGAATAATTCTCTATGTTTAGGCAGTTTGGAACTTGTACTTAAGAATGTTGAATTTGGTCTTTGCTCTTTAGTGGCGGGGAATGGGAGAAGAAAGGTCCCTGTGTTTACTCACTGAATAAATATGCCTGCAGGCAATGTGCTGTTCAGCCTTTTGGTCAGGGACTGCTTAAACATCTATCTTGGCTTCTTTGAAACCCCCTTGCTAATCACCTCATCTTCTTACTTCGATGCCTTCAGCTCTGGATCTTAGAGTTATTTAACGAATTGTTTAATTCCATAACACACCTAAGAAGAAAAGACAAAAGATCTTGAGTAGTGAAAAATAAACTCGGTAAAATTCAGACACTGTGAATTTCTTCTTATGAGACCCCCTTGCTCAGCGCCTACACAAATTTAGAAAGATTACCTACCCAAGTTCCAAGTTCACATATGTTAAAATTAAGTTACTGCTTCAACAGCTTACAATTATTTTTATTGTGATTAAACTTGACTGGATGTAACTGGCTGCTAAATGCTGTGCTAAGCCTGTTACCCACATTGCTCAGATAATATTTTTTGTGCTGATCCTGGACTTGAATTCAGGGTCTGGTCATTGTCCCTGAGCTCATAGTTAGTGTTTGACAACATAAGCCACAGCTCCACTTCCAGCTTTCTGCTTGTTAATTGAAGATAGTCTTACAGACTTGCTTGCCTAGGCTGGCTTTGAATCCAAATCTTCAGATCCCAGCCTCCTGAGTAACTAGGATTACTGGTGTGAGCCACCAACGCCCAGAAATTCAGATTCTTTGTGAGCAGCCTCTAAACTTCAGTGTTATTAATAGCTCCATTTCACAGTTTCATAAACTGAGGTTTAGACTGAATTTTAGAAAAACTAAAAAACTTACCTAATTTGCATATATTGTATGTCTTATATATAGAGGTAATGCTGTAGAAGTTATTTGATAGCAAAAGAGTAGAAAATTACAATGGTAAAAAGAAATTCCAAGAAGCTAGAGGTTTTCAGTTTAAGACAGGCTACTTTGTATCCATCAGTAGCTCTCAAGTAGCAGCATAATGTTCTACAGTGAAACCAGCTGATTTGTGTAAGTAGGATTCCCAAACCATTAAATAGATTAAATTATGTTCAAAATAATTTATTTAGTGATGGACAAAAACATGTAACATATGCTATAAATGTCTTTCTGATTTTTCATATTGGTGAAGTAAACAGCAACTCTGTGTTTTGGCTTCTCAACGGGAAGGAAAACTTCAGTTCTCTGAGAAATTTGCACAAACAGAATGCATCATTTGTTCCCTGGTGGTAATGGTATTTTTATGTGTGGAGTATTTCAAAACAGAAAAGAAAGCTTTGGGAGAATAAGTTTAAAGAACATACTTATAGAATAAATTTAAATCTGCAAAACATTGTGCTTTCCAAAGTTGCTATATTCAAGACCAAGTAGCTCAGGCTGTAAACAGGCTGGCATTTGGGTCAATTGCATTAGGCTGGCTAATGTAGAATTGACCATTTTTAAAGGAGGTTTCAGACCATGGCTGACTTGGTGCGTTGTCTGAGGTGACCAACCTTACTGAGATGAAAATAACTGTCCCTGAACCTTGCTATCTGGCCTATGCCCAGGTTATAATTGTGATGTGGCATAGGAAGAAAAAGTGACACAGAGCAGAATCACTTTGTAAGATGCAAGTCCCAGTAGGCTACCTGTGTGCTATCTGGAGCTTGCAAGCCACTCAAGGAAGTGTGAAAACACTGGTTAAGACATTCAGAAAGAGCTGGATTCTGATGGCTCATGCCTAGCTACTCAAGAGACTGAGATCATGGTTGAAGCCGGCACAAATAGGAAAATCCATGAGACCCTTATCTCTAGTTAACTAGCAAAGAGCCAGAAGTGGAGTGGGTAGCTCAGTGGTAGAGTGCAAGGCTTGAGGGAAAAAAATGCTAAAGGACAGAGTCCTGGCCCCGAGTTCAAGCCCACTACCAGCATGCATGTACATGCACATACACACTACTCAGCAAGAGCCAGGGCCCCTGCAGAACTCAGAACTGCTGCAAGAACTCACTGAGAAAGTGGTCCTTCTTCACATTTTTACCCCGTTCTATCTTGCCTCAATCTGTGCACAGTAAAGTTTCAAAAAAAAAAAACATTGCAGGGAGAGACACTCAGGACTGAGTAGGTGAGAAGAAGAAAGGGCTGAGGGTGTGCAGGCTGTCCTCTAAGTGAGAATTAAACAAAAGGCCCAGTGTGGACAGAGTAGGGGTAGGTTACGTGAGACAGACGTTTAAGTAAAAAATCAAGTCCCAAACCACTGTGGTCATTCAGAAATGTTTGCAACTTTTCACAAGAGCAGTGGTATTACTCCGAATTTCCTGGCCAAATATTTATTAAGGTAAGCAAGGACAGAGTACATGAGAGTGCTTCATATCAGCGCAGCATCCCACTCTCCTTGCTGCTGTGAACTGTGAGGTACTGTCAAGAAAAAAAAAAAACTCTTCCACACTTGAAATAGCTATGTTACAGAGGAGAGTTGGAACGTGTTCTGGGAGTGGGTGTGTTTGTTTGAGTTCAGGGTGTGCAGAAAAGGCAAGCCTCCACAGCCATTCACACACTTCCCTCCTCAGCGATGGGTACGCAGACAGCCGAGCTCCTGCACTAAGTCTCTGAATGGTAACGTACATTTATAAATATTATATTCTTAACTATTTTGAGGCATTTTAGAAATAATATGCATGTGTCTTTTAAGCGCATATGTGTGTGTATATATATAAATATATATGTAAATATATATATTTAGTCAACTTTTGCTTGTTTTCTCCTGAGACTGGTCATGTGCGGTTTCTTATGCGGTGTGATTTCTGAGGTGTCAGAAAAGAGCTCCCCCCTACCTCCTACTCTATTGACCCAAAAATATCTCTTGGGTTAGTCCACCACAGAGCCTAAAATTCCCATATTGCTCAAACATTTGATTTAGTTGCTGAAAGCAGCTGTGAAAATCCAAGTGTTGCATTGGGATGTGAGGCAGACATTTGAAATTAAAACTGTGTAAAACTAAATATGGGGAAAGGGACTTGTGCTATAATGTTCTGTTTTCCAGAGAAGAATGCAAAATGGCATGCATGGTGTGGGTCAGGTACTACTCTTGAAATGCCATGGGGCCAGAGGCAGCATTTGTGCCTGAGTTCATGGGTATGAATCTGAGGTAAAAGTAAGCCAGCACTGTTAGACAGATTAGGATTTGATTTATGTTGAATGGAGTGCTTTCCACAGTTTCTGATCCTCAGCTCCCACTCTCTTCACAGTGTTTCTGACATTTCCCTTTGCTGAGCTCCGGAGGCTCCCAGTGACCTCTTGGTAATCAGCTTTGACGGGGGCCCAAATCCCCACCCCTTGGAAAACTTGGGAAGGCTACATCTGACTGTGAGCAGCTTTCAGGAAAGACCTCACAAGCGGCCACCCAATCTCTCTTGGTAGCAAATTGCCAAACCAAGCCCATTTCCTCAAAAGATGGTAGAGGACTTAGCAGCTTCCTATGTTGCTCTGAAATTGGAGAATGAAATTCTACAGGCCCAAGTACAGAGGCTGATGGAAGAAAATGCTGCCCTCCAGGCCCAGATCCCAGAGTTCCAGAAATCCCGAGCAGCCAAAGAGGATGAAACACTCCAAAAGCCCTCAGAGGCCCAGGAGTCCCGGAAGTCCTCAGAATCCCCTGAGCCCCCAGCAGCCTCGGGGCTCCAGGAGCCCAGAGAGATCAAGGAACCCCAGGAGCCCCCAGAGATCAAGGAGGCCCAGAAGCCTCCCAAGCTCCTGGAGCCCTCAAAGATCAAGGAGCTCAGGGATGTTCCAGCAACCTGGGAGCCCTCCGAGATTGAGGAGGCTCAGGAGCCCCCAGAGCTCCAGGAGCTCACAGCCTGGAAACCTCCAGCAAGCCAGGAGCCTCAGGCACCTCCCAAGAGCCATGAGCTCCCAACAGCCTGGGACTCAGAGCCCCCAGACAGCCAGGATAGTTCAGAGGCCCAGGAGCCCCAGGATTCAGAATCCCAGGGCACCCCAAATAGTGAGGAACCCCAGAAGGAACCAGAATATCAGGAGCCCTCATCACACCTGGAGGCTCTTGAGCTTCCAGCTACCCCGGAGCTCTTGGAGCCTCGGGTGTCCCAGGAATTCTTGGATTCATCAGATGCTCAGGAGTTCCTAGAACTCCCATTATCCACTCAGAGCCTGGAGGGACTAATAGTTGTGGGGACATCTGCATTTTCAGAATGCTCCCAAGCCCCCAGTGGATTAGAGATTGCAACTTTCCCTCTAGAATATCCTTTAGCCTTCAGTGGGGATGCCCAAAAGCTTCCCGAATTCCTGATTCAACTGAGCAGTTACATGAGAGTCAGAGGGCACCTGTATCCCACTGAGGCAGCCCTGGTGAGCTTCGTTGGCAATCGCTTCTCAGGTGAGGCAAGAAGGTGGTTCCAGCCCTTGCTGGATATTCAAAGCCCCCTGCTGGAGCAATTTGAAAGTTTCATCCAAGTGCTGCAAGATACTTTTGACAATCCAGAAGACCTGGAAGATGCCAACCACCGCATCCGTCAACTGTGCCAAGGGGAGGGCCCTGTTCACCAGTATGCCACCCATTTCCACCTCTTTGCTCAAGAGCTGAAGTGGAATGAAGGCACTTTCTGCATCCAGTTTCAAAAACGCCTGGCCAGTTCAATGGGAAACGAACTGTCTCACAGAAGCCTGCTTGCCAAACTATCTGATCTGATCATTCACTGTGTCCGCCTAGAAGAGAAGAATAGTGGTGCAGCTGCCCTTGATTCATCAGGCCCAAGCCCCGCTGAAGAAAGAGAGGGGCCTGCGAATCCACCTGCTGAAAACCAACCAGTGCAAGCTGCCAGCAATCGCCCACATCTCAGTGAAGCTGAAAGGGCCCGCCGCCGCGAAGGCCACTTGTGTCTCTACTGTGGGCATCCTGGTCATTTTGCCAGAGATTGTCCTGTGAAGCCTCATCGTGCCCAGCCGGCGGGAAACATGGAGGCCCGGCGGTAAGGGGGACCCCGGGCGGGCCAATCTACAAATATGCGTCCCCCTCTCTTCCAATATCCATGTCCCGTACCCTATGGCTAACTGTTGAAATCCGACTGGGAAGAAGACAGTTCTTTGAGCAAGCAATGGTAGATTCCGGCTCCTACAGAAACAGCATCGACAATTCAGTGGTTCTTCGAGAGAAGTTGCCAGTCCGCAATAACATCTTCCCTTTGATGCTGGAAACCGTCGATGGCCGTCCACTGCTCAATGGACCCATCACCAAGGAAACTCCACCTGTTGAAGTCAAAATTGGCAATCACGTTGAAGAGCTCCAGTTTGACATCATTCATGCACCACGATACCCTCTGATTCTTGGAATCCACTGGCTTGAAACACATGACCCAAACATCGAGTGGAGTACCCGCAAAGTGTCCTTTCCATCACGTTATTGTCACTACAATTGTTTCAGGCACAGGTGGAATAGAAGGCAGCGTGATGAAATAATTGCTGGGTAGATCCTGGGTCTTAGTGACTTTCTGGCAATGTGTCCCCTGTTACCTCAGCTGCCATCAGCATTTGCAGCTCTCAGAATCTTCCACTGAACCTCTGGCTATGGACTAAGGCTACCTGTACGATTCTGCCTCTTGGATCATGGTTTGAACCTGACGATTTGAACTGTTTTTTTTGTTTTGTTTTGTTTTTTTACCCCCCCCCCCACCTTGCATGCCTGCCCCCTTTGAGCCCTGCATTATATGGGACTGTTTTAATCACATTTTATACTAACAATATGCATGAAAATAGATTTTAGAAACTAATATGAAAAACATGTAGCTGTGAGACTGACTCGATTCTTCTTTTTTTAAATCAAGCTTCCTTTATCACAAAACTTGTAACTTTTTTCAATAAATACCATTTTGAAAGTGATATTTTTAAAGCATCAATAAACATTGGCATTTCTACTTGTGTTGGAATTATTTCTGGGCTTAGTTGGGGGGAGGAGATGAAGGGCTAGTAAGGTGGGAGGGAAAGAGGAATTAGAAAAAGCTCAACTTTAGGGTGAGATCCTGGACACTTTCAGAAGCAGTGACCAGATCAGGGTGTGACAATACAGTGGGAGGTGGAGATATATGGAAGGGTTGGGGCTAGGATATGGTGAGGTTGGGGGGGGGGATTTGGGAGAAAGTAGAGGAAAGTTTGGGAAGAAGGTTTGGGAGAGCTTGGGAGAAAGTGGGAGATGGTACAGGGGGGAGGTGGGTGGATGCTGAGGGTAGGGAAATGGGGAAGGAGAAATCCATACAAAATAAAGGAAACCGGCTGAGATTGCAAGCAGCTTTGCAGACAAACTTCTTCAACGTGAAGTTAGCCAAGGAAGAATACTAAAACAGGTAATGTGATCTCCTTGGTAACCCAGACGTCCCTGTAAATAGACATGGTCTTATTCCCTGCAGTTGGGAAAATGGGCTCCAGGACTCCTGCCTACTACATTTCTCAGAGTACCCGAGCAGTGTGGCAGTAATCAGCTTTCAATACAGGCAGATTCTTAGAAACTACCCCTTGTACACACACAAGTTGTTCTGCCCTGTTAGCCCTGCTGCCTGCCTGACCTAGGCAGAAAGCAAAGTTGGAGAAAATAATTGATATTTTTGTGGGCCTGAGAGGGACCAATATCTTGACTCAAATTACACTCTCTCTCTCTCTCTCTCTCTCTGTCTCTCTCTGTCTCTCTCCCCCTCCCTCCCTCTCTCCCTTCCTTCCTTCCCCCTTCTCTCTCCAGGGTACAAATGATGAAGTAAATGAGTATAATCCTAGAAGGACAAAAGGGAAGAACCTGCTATCCACCGAGTCCCTAATAAGTTCCAGATACAACTGTTAGGCATTTCACATATGTTAATTAGCTCAGTGCATCTCAGAACAATTGGGTGAATTATGTGTGTTTGCTTCTATTTTATCAATGGGAAGAGACCACACATTTCACTTGCCCAAAGTCCCATATGGATAGTAAATAGTGGAGGCCTGTGTGACCTATAAGGCCTGTGCCCTTTCTCCTACAGCAGGGCAGTCTCTTGGTTGCAGCAGTAGGCACAAAACAAGACTGTGACAGCAAAGATCTATGTGGGATAACCTTCAAAATGAGGGGGAGCTTCAAGGAAAATTGCACGGACAACTTGGGCAATGATATTCTGTAAATGGTGGCACAGCCCCCCTTTCAGATTCCACAGTGGTTTTCAGAAGAGTCAGGGGTCTAGAAACTGTTACCTGCAGGATCTGTGTTGTGCTTAGCAGCAATGCCCCCCCCCCATTCCAAATTTCCTTTCTACTCACTTCTATAACTAATCCAATTCCTCCTACTTTCCCAAACAGTTTAATGCATTTTAACATGATAACAGCCTTGTGGTATGTAAGGAGCCTTTCCTCACATATACATCCTACATTTTTCTCCACTACTTACTCCCTGACACACTTAGCCTGGGTATACAGAATCATCTATAACCTTTACCTATATGGCATAGCCTAACATAGCATCTGGTACATAAAAACTTCTTCATAGCAACTGATTCAATGACATTTAAATATCATTACACAGATATTTGTATACTATGGGCTCTTCTGGGGGCGGTTCTCATACTGATTTTCTCACCCCCAAGGACAAACATTATTAGTCAATGTAGAATTCAACAGGGGAGGAAATATGTCAAGTAGCCACAAAAGGGAAAAAGAGTGACTTTTATTAACAAACCTAGAGCTCAGGAGACCAACTGTGTTTGATTTCCCCAGGATGGAGCAGATTCACAGAGGACTTCCTGTGTAAAATGCAGTTTGCACAAACTGAGATTTGGTTGTCAATTTACCTGGAGTCTAGGTTTTATAGCCCTATCTGCCTAGAGGAACTTCTTTAACAAGAGTGTAATTCTTTAATTAACAAAAGGAGCAATTATCTAATTATATCATCACAGACTTTGCAAATTGGAAAAGAATCAAGAAGCCTATTCCCTTAATTGTTCCAGTGAAGAAGGTAAGGAGGCCCAGAGGAAGGAAGGAAAAAGATACCATAACCAGCATCACATCCTCATCTGATTTCAATTCCAAAACCAGCGCTCTCTTTTCACCATAAACCAATGTTTCTTATCCACTAGTTAAAACTCAAGCCTGCGGGCCAGCACTTAGCTAGGTACTGTGAGCCATGTTTAAATTATAAACTGAGAGGATTATAATGTGGTCAAGGAGGAAAAATAAATAACAATAGCTAGCATAGGTAATCAAATCCCAAGTTCTGAGGTCACAACAAATATGACAAACTGAAACTGAAAATATGCATTCATCAGTTTAATTAGTACTTCCATGTAATGACTATTTGATTTTTGTCAGACATTTGTATATGATGATTTGGGTGTTTTCAATATTCTGAAACATAAAAATTCTTAGTTCTGTTATACAAATAAAAAACATGAATCCCACTGATTTTGAGGTCACTTGTCAGGGGTCGTACTGCTAGAAATTGGTGGATATTAAAATCAAGTTGTGATCTGTCCTCCTCCAAACCTGGAGTTCTAGGCTGGGGATTTTTTTTTCAGGGGCACATTGCTTTCCTAGCAAGCATAAAGTCCTGGGTTCCCTCTGCAGCACTGCAAGCAGCAGAAAAAAACAAAACAAAACAGTTGAGGTTCTATCTAATGTATCTCACTGATTCTCACAATGAATGACATGTGTTCTATATTAACTGGCTTAATTATATGGAGTCACTAAACATGAGTTCCTCTTCTCTAGAAATGTATGATCATTAAGATAATATTTTATAAAATTATTAATTTATTGATTTAAAAATACTTGAATGGCTTCTATGGGTCAGGCATTGCATGCAAAGGAGGGAAAGGGAGAGAAAGATGTACAATTGTATTTAAACTCTGCCTCACAGTCCTTGCTTTGAGCACAGTTTAATTGCAGGAACTGTTGCTCCAAGAAGCACAATTTGAGTTGGGTCTTAAATGAATTTCTTTGGTGCAAACGGGAGAGCAGAGCTTTCTAGGCTGTGTAAAATGCAAACAAAGCAGAAAGCTGGAGAGAAAAATCATGGGGTCTTGAGAAAACACAGAGCCCTGTCAACGGATGGATAAGCATGGTGTGGAGGGCATGGTGTTTGGGACAGAAGGGAGCAGATAAATCCTGAGCTCAACAGTTTTCCTGTAAGCAATTTGAACTGGTATCTTTGTTTTTCTTCTCTCTTTTTTTTAATCCCATTCTCACAAGCTAGAATTTTACAATCTCCAAATCATGAATGATAAAAAAACTACCTTTTCGTTTGGGCCTCTCAGTTTCAAATTTTAAAGATTGTAAAACAATTCTCGGTGTGTAAGATTTAAAAAAAATATTCTGCAATATTTGGCATAGATGAAAAGTAAACAGTTCCCTCTTAGCTAACTTTTCAAAGTTTCAAGTTTAGAAAGAAATGATCTCTATATTTTTGTAGCTTTTCTGGGTTGGTTTTAACAAATATTCTATACTTTATGATATGGAAATATTCCTCAAATAAATCATGGTCATTCCACAGAATGATTTCTTTGCCTTCCAGTTTTAAGCTATTTCTGAAAGTATATTTTAAAGGCTTTATAGGGATATATAATTTTAAATATTCTTAGTGTATAAAGCTTTTAGTATCTGCCAATATACTATATATCAAAATATTATAGAGCACATCTCCAGGCCCATTTTTCACTTGTTCTTTTAGGATAGGGTCTTGCTTCTTGCCTAACTCATGCCTGAGTTGCAAATCTCCCCACAATAGCCTTGCCATCCTCTGTGGGATCACAGGCTTGTGCTACCCCATGTCCCTTAGCTTTTTTGCTCAAGGCTGTCACTCTCTCACTTGAGGCACTCAGCTTTTTGATGGTTAATTGGAGATAAGAGTCTCATGGACATTACTGGCCAGACTGTCTTTGAACTGTAATCCTCAGAATTTCAGCCCTTTGAATTTCTAGGGTTACAGGCATGAGCCACCAGTTACTGGTGGCTTGAATGCAGAAAAT